TCTGACCTTGCATTTGGCTGTATTGAGATGCATGATTGGAGGAGTCCCAACTCATAAGCATTGGATTGCTTTGTGTAACTTGCCTTTCTTACAGCTGGCTCAGAATGTACCACCTGTACTTGAGGTTGCCTAACGTTTTCTACAAGACAGGTTTCTTCTTTTTTTTTTTTTTTCCTCAGTTGCTTATAGCTTTCTAGTTGTTCCACTCTGCAACTTTTCATTTGCAACAGTCTGTCTAAGGCTGAATTATTTTTGAAAAGGTATTTTAAGAGAAATTAAATTCAGGTGCTTGAGAAAATTATATTAAAGGAAATAAGTATATTTTTTGTCCATTTTTTTATCTTCCTTTGAGGAAATGAGTCTGTTGTAGAAACTAGAAATGGAATAGGAGCTTGCCAAAATGACAGATAAATGCTGTGTTCTGCCCATGTGAAAATCCATCTAGACTTAGCTATATGATGCTTTTCAGTTTGTTTTTTGGGGGTTGAAATTTGTGACATTACTTCCCAACAGTGCTGTTTCTGCAGAATGGTTGGTGCTTTGAGTGTGGGAAGGGCTACTCCATATTTTTGCTCCTAATGATCTTCTGTGCAAGAGCTAACTTTTTTTTATTAGGTGGTTGTTGTTATCCTTGCTGATGTTCAGAGAGGGAGTGGGAAGGGCAAACCTGTTCAAGAGTGAGTTGTGCAGCCTTCAGCCTTAAGATGTGTGAATTAACAGAAGGGCTCAGGGGCCACAGTTAAGTAGCTTACCTGCCTCCTAATAAACTGCTGACATGTTAAAGTTCAGATTGCAGCAGGCAGAGTGAGTTGTAACTACCAGAAAATATTTTTCTATGCAATTCAGGTGCTGAATCCATGATCTCTGTTACCAGTAAGTCTCTAAATACCAGTTACAAATTGCTTAAGAAGGAAAATATACCACTGTGAAGTGTTACCTACACTTTTTCATCATGTGTTTCTGTGTTGCAGGTGTAGAGCTGTCTCTTATACACATCAGATGTGTATAAGAGACAGACTGAAGGCGGCTCTGGGGGAAACCTCGGGTTTCTTATTTCTCGTTGAATCGTCTGCTTCAGAGGTTTTCTTGGTGGGTTGAGTTTGGGGATTTTTTTTTTTTTTTATGTGCCATCACCTGCATGACCCACTTCTGGGAACGAGGAGAAAGTCCTTGTGCACCTACCCAGTGCATGGTCCGGTTCCCTTCTCACCTTCAAAAATCTAAACAGCAGAGCTCAAGGTGTCCTTTTTTTCACTTTTAGACAGGTTTCCCGTGCCCCCCCCCCAAAAAAAATAAAAGATTGCTCAGGTTTTGACTTCTGTGTAAAAAGCAGAATTTTAGAAAAATAAAATGTTAAGGGCTTTGAGAAACAAGCTGAGGTGTGCTTGTTGGCTCCTTCGTTCAGCTGTACGGCTCAGTCCAGCACTCTTCCCATTAAAAGTCTGTGTTTTTTTAAACTTTCAGAAGGGCTTATCACAGCTCAGTTTTATGTAGCTCCAGTTAACATGACTAGACTGAAGGTAGCCTCTAAAGCCATCTATTATGCTTTTATTTGCAATGAAATAAAAAGTAGGGAAACACAAAGAAATTGTGAAAAAAAATGGATGCTATACCTTCGTAGAAAATTACATTTAGAAATGGGAATAAGGACAGGATTTGTACATTCAGGCCTTCAGTCTGAAGCTCAGGTGCATGCATTTCCCTATCAAATGTTTGTCAATCACACTTGAGAGGTTTGGTGTTAGTACAGATAATAAGCTTTGTGATAAAATAGATGAGCCAGAAATAAAATAACACAATGGCCCAACAACCCCTTCATCTCAAATGTTCAGTTCCACTTACGGCCTTTGCAGAAGAAATGGACTGTAAATCCTGCTGTAAAGGATCTTGCCACAATTTAAATCCTCCACTCATTAAATTAAAAAACAACTTTCTACGTTGAATCAACCCTTAGTTTTGGGAAGGAACTATGACAGGTAATTTCAGCTGAAGTTTCTGTTTAGAAAAATAAAAACACATAGAGAAATTGACATTAAAATAATTGAAGTAATGCACATTTGTGATGTGAGAATTAAACGTGCTGCCATTTAAACAACAGCAGGGGGGGAGGTTTAAACAATATTCTGCGTTTGAATAATGTAACAATACTGTTATGCATGAATGTCAGAAAATTACTGGAAGTATCAGTAAAAATATTTTACTTTAAGCTGAACAAGGCACAAGTGTTTTAAAATGGCATTAATGGTGAAATAAATTTGGGAACTCCCTTAATATGTATAGTTTACACTAAGTAAATATTTAAAATTATATCCTAATGTTCTCAACTCCTATGTTGCTTTACAGTTCTCTGAGATCCTTCTAGAACTCCAGTTATTAACTTCTAAAATCAGAATTTATCTAAATGAAAATTCCAAATTTACTCAAAAATCACACAAATCAACAGCGTTCTGATTAGATCTTCATTGCAGGCAATGGCACATGGTAGAAAATGTTTGCTTTTTCATTTAGAATAGCCTAAGTATTTCTATGGTGTTACTCACATTCAAGCTCCTTGAACTCCCCCTAACCTCAGCCACACCATCCATCCCAGCAGGCTACACTGAGACCTTCATTGCTCTGGTGCTTGGGTTCATCTTGCTCCACTGTCAGCTCCCAGAGTTAAAATGACCAAAACTTAATCCCACAAAAAAAAAATTACTATCAGTTAACAGTATCAGGGGACCACTATGCGGTGAGAAGAGAAATTAACAGGGCAAAGGATCCTATGGCTGCACAAGGTGAGATACATTTCAGGTGCCATGGAAGTACTACCTCATATCACACCATTCTGGGAAAGAAAATAAATCCATCATTTTTTTATACTTTCTTAAAAATTATTATTTTGGACCCCCATTTCAGTGTAAATTATCACCCAAGTATCACTGTACTGAAATTCTGGTTTTCAGAATTAAAGAATTGGGACTTTATGCCTCACAGCAGAAACAAAATAGTTGTGTTTTCCAGCTTCTGTGTCCAAGGAAGAACAGATGATAGCACTACAGTAGCTACCCTTCTGGTGAGGAGAAGAACAATTTTAAATCCTATCTGGAGCATCTATGAGTTTTAGACAAGCTTCAGAAATCTGGCTCTACAAATGTAGCTGCTGTTGTCTATTTAAGCCTTGAAATTTAGCCTGCAGTTTCCAATGCTCACTCACTTCTTTTTTAAGAAAGGCATAGAAAATAAATCATCTGGGAACACTGCTTTAGTGGAAGTTCTAACCCTCTACAGGACAATACTCACTTCATTCAGTGACCTTGCAGAATTTTTTTTGCGAGAGTTGGATTTTTTTTTTAATTATTTTTTCTGCGAAGAGTTAATTAACCTACCTCTGTTTTCCGTTTTACAATAAAAAAAATAGAAAACTAGTTATTTCCCATCCTACATTACCATCAAAAATGCAGAAGGATGTTCTGTCTGGAGACTGGGATTCTGCTGTTGACTAGTAGAGTGTTCCAGTAACTAAGGCAACAAAAGCCTCTGTTCTGCTTAGAGGAAATTGGGGAGCTGGCCTAACATGATCTGTAGGTGGATCATATTTTGTTTTCTCTAAAGAACTCCATCCCACCCACTTCATGAACAGAGAACGCCCAGACGCTTCCTGTTTGAGTCTCTCTGAGCACTAAACCAGCACTAAATAATAAACTCATAAAGGGAATTAAGGCAGGTTGAAATTGGGATGGGCAGTATAGTCTGCCTTGGCAATTAGTCACAGCAAACTTAATCATATCCAGAACTGAGCTGGGCTTAGTATGATTTATTTATGTTGTAGTATCTTTGAATATAGAAACACTTTAAATGAGTGCATTGTGATGAGCAGATGCCAATTTTTTTGTATCACTACTCCAAGTATTCAGCACCTATATTAACACTTGGCAATGGATGTCATTAGAGGAGCACCAAATGTATCAGTGTTATTATAAAACTGTTACTGTGAAATAGTTTGAACATTGTCTTTACCAGTGATAAACCCTACATCATACAGTACCTTTTAAAAAAAAAATGTTTTCAAGTGTTTCTTTGTTCATATTATACAGGCTATGTGTTAATACGTAATTCTTAATAACAGGATAATACTGACTCCAGAAACGTGAAGACAGGGATGTTCTGCATGTTAATCAATGTCATGCCATGCACTTAGCCACTTACTGCTAATTTTCCATTTCTTCTATGCAGGACTGCTAACCATAGAAAAGTGTTCATAGATGATAATTCTAAATTATTTAATTCAGTGCAACTTAACAAAATCTATTTGTACAAGGGTTGCCAAGATGTCCAGAGAAAATAATACATTCTTCAGGCTGTCTGTTGGAGAAACCTACTGTGATAAATGTACATACTAGTCTGAGAACTTTATCCTCTATATTTGTTATTAGCATCTATTCTTGATCCTATAGCAGGTTTGGGTCTTTTTAAACCTAGTAATATGTCTGATATCTTTTTCCTTTCTCTGAAAGGAGAAAATATTTTTTTATTCTTAAAATTCCTTATTATGTGCCTTCTGTCCCCTAGTGTATTGACCAGAAAAATCATTTGCACCTTAGACTTTGGTCCCCTACTTAGACGAGCTAGATGCTGACCTTCTGCTGGAAAATGGGTGGCCAGCACTGCTCTCTCCCTCCTTCTAACAGGCTTTCTCCACCATTTGCCTTGCCCTGGCACAGAGGCTGACAGGATTCCTCCGTGAGTTAATTTACCTCACAAACTCACATAGAACAAAATTAAGCCAGAAAAGAAATAGCTTTACATTTTTCTACCGCTCTAGTGAGCCAAGTGACCCATGAGAGGGTCCAAGGAGTGCAGGAGTTGGCATAAAAGCCCAGGAGAAGGAGGACAGGTCCACATAGCTACAAACCAGAGATGAGAGAATGAGGTGGAAAGAGGACTTTGTCATTTGAGCAACAGTAAGTTATTAGATCAACTGAACAGCTCATGGAGTCACCGCCTCCTGTGCATTTGCCAAAAATATGGCTTCAGCAGGCTATCATATGTCAGCATGCAACTACATCCAAACAGTTGATGCTTCCTTTACATCAGCACTTCAGTAACTGCCTCTGAAAAAGTTCCTTTTTTTCTGGAAGCCTGGTCTCTAACAGGATGGAAGTTTTTACTTTTATTTGCCTATTCTCATAGCTGGATATGTTACCTACTGCATTTTATAGATGGGTTTCGGCTTGACAGGAAAGCTCCCTGGTACTCCATGTTCTAGCTGTCACACATGAATGTGCTCACGGGGCATCTTCTGAAAGGAGAGTAAGATGGTGCTCACAAGGAACCATCAGGATGCAGGGAAGCCAGGAGGGGATAGTTCAAGAAGTGTAGCAGATGAAAGATGTAGCATAAGATGAGGAGGCATGGGCCTGATCAGGAAGAGGACAGTGGTGGCTCAGAACTGCAGGAGGGAGGTTCTCCTGGACACCAGAGGAGCTTAGCAGAGTTTGCTGCAACCCAGAAAACCAGCTGAGATTGCAAGATGAGACATACAAGATCTGAAGGCAATGGCTCACCCTATTGGGACACAATGAGTGACAGCGGAATTTGCATTCATGCTTCTGTATTTTTATTAGTCCTCAAACAGGAAAACGTCCATTTTCTGTATTTCAGAAATTACTTTGGTTTAATTTCTATTCTAATAAAATAATGTTGGAGATAGAAAACCCTTTTGGTGTGGTTACTATGCCAACTGCAAAGACGACAGGCAGGGAGGTTCATCCTGAAACTCTGATTCTGGGGAGCCAATCACAATCAGAAAGCCCTCTAACATGTTTGCATGTTAGCCTTCTTGAACAGTGCTGTAATGGCAAGAAGTTCCCCAGAGAGCCTAAGGAGTGATTTCAGCCCTCCCCCACTTCCAGCTGCATGATGTGCACTCTCAGCGCTTTCCTTGTGCAAGCCCTGATGGTCATTAGACACTGTGCTGAGCCATTTTATCATGCTCCATCAGCAGAAAAAAATAGCCCAACAAAATAAAATGCTAAAACTGGCTTGAACTATTCTGGACTGAAGTCAAGACAGACATTCACAACAGAATGGACAATCAGGATGACATGTTAGTCTAGACTCTACCCTGCTGAGGAAAGCTTGGGAATTTCAGAACATCAGACTTATCTTGGTATCTCTTGTCTAAGCTCTGTAGAAAGATTTGTCAAGAA